TTGATCACAAAAAAAAAATTTAAAAGCCAATATAGATAACTTTCTTTAGAAACATAGATTAGAGATAGAAACATAGGTATTTGTGATTTATTTAATTTTTTTTTCTATTTATTTTAGGGGAGAGTTAAATGTAGCCAATGGGTAGAACTATTCAAGGATGGGATCACTGCTGTGTGAAGCCTATGTTAGATTCCATGAGAATTTCTGTGAACTTTGGACAATCTCTTGGTAGCACATTGAAACCAAGTTTCTGATTTGTTTTGTTTTTCTCACTAATTAATTTATTTATTCACTTTACATCCTTATCAAAGCCCTTTCGCTCCTTTCCTCCTGGTCCCACCCATTCACTCTCTTCTCCCTTTCCTCTTCTGCTCAGAAAAGGGGCTCCCCTTTTCTGAGGAGAAGAGGAAACCCCAGCACATCAACTCTCATCAGAACTAAGTTCATCCTCTTCCACTGAGGACAGACACATCAGCCTAGTTAGAGGAAAGTGATCTAAAAAGTAGGCAAATGATTCCATGTCATAGATAACCACTGCTCCAATTGCAAAGGGACCCTCATGAAAACCAAACTGCTCATCACGTACATATGTGTAGGGGCCTGAGGCCCAGTTCATGCTTGCTCTTTAGATGGCAGTTCAGTCTCTGTGAGTCCTCATGGGCCTAGGTCAGTTGACTGTGTTGCTCTTTTTGTAGAGTTCTTTTCCCTTCCCCAGTTCCTCTATTCCTTTCTCAACTCTCCCACAAGACTCCCCTATGCGACTTAATATTTGGCTGTGGGTATCAACACTTGTTTTGATCTGATAGGATGCTGAATGGAGCCTCTCAAAAGACAGTTGCATTAGGTTCCTGTCTGTAACCATAGCAGAGTTAGAGGGTGGCCTCTTCAGTCTCCATGACCCCTGCTACTAAGAGTCTCAGCTAGAGTCATCCCCATATCCTCCCAAAAGCCAACTCTGTCGTAGGTCTCCAGTTTGTCTCAGAGATGTCCTCCTCCAATTTCCCTTCTTTCTCCTTGTCCCCTCAACCCCTCCCCACTCTCCTCAAACCCTCTCCCACCTATTTCCCTCTCTTCATTAACCTCCAATGGCTATTTTACTTCCCCTTCTGAGAAAGGTTCAGGCATGGGCCCTCCTTGTCACTTGGCCGGCTTCTTTGGGTCTGGAGATTGGAATGTGGTTATCCTGTATTATATATCCACTTATAAGTGATTACATACCATATGTGTCTTAGAAAAATATGTCTAAAGAGCTAATAGTTTATTTGTAGAATTAGTCTTAAACACAAATAGTTTATATATAGTTCATAAATGATGTCACCTTGTGAAGCTAGCAGGTTTTTACCTCAGTTTACATCTCATACGTATTTCTTGGTATAAATATGAGGTAATTTAAATAGTTACTAGGTAACCCTATCAGTGAGTCACTGTTCTGGAGAGAGATTACCTTGAAGAAAACACACAGCCTTATTTGGACCACAGTAAATCTTTAAAAGAAAAAAAATAATAACTGTGGTGTTATTATAACTGAAGCAAACCTGGACGCAGTTTGCTAATAATAGAGCTCTAAATGGAAATCTGAATATTCCTACAATGCTCTAGTCACTGTATAACACATATTTATTTATTTCATGTAGGAATGTCTTCTCTAAGGTGCCATTAATTACAATTACTGGGAAATTTCACAAAGTCAGAGGTACTACAACAAATATCAAAACATGCTGAAGCAATTGGTTCAAGACTATAATTCATACTTAGCATCCACTTCCTATACTAACCAAAAGAAATTCTCAATAATTATTGTAATATTGCTGGTGGTTTATTTGGAACGAGATGAGGGACTGCACTTACTTCTATTCTATTATCAGTCTTGGTCTCCAAGATTTCACTTAGTTGAATTGCTTTGAATTCATTTTTTTTTTCCCATAAAGTACTTGACTGTTAATATACTCCTTCTCATCCCCCAAAGAAGAGAATTTTTTCTGGTTTACTGTTAATTATCTTTATCCTTACTATGAATTTTTCCAGCACACCTTTAATCTTGGGACTCAGGGAGACAGAGGCAGGAGGATCATTTGAGTTTGAGACTGGGTTACAAAGCGAGGCTGTAACCAAGGCTACACAGAGAGGTACAGTTTAAAAAAAAAAAATCTTCCACATTTCCCTAAATCTAGAAGCATCAGTGTGCACTTAAATTCGGTGAATTTTGCATTTTTTTGTGATAATGACTAACTGCAGACGATGATATAATTATGAGAAAACAGGAAGCAGAACTCATCATATGGTCCTTCCTGATAACGTGGAGTTGGGCCAGAGAAGTTCTAAGCATACTACCTTTAGAGACAAAAGTTTAAGTGTTACTCCCACAATTTTAGAAGAGAATATTATCCTTTTAGGGTGACTTTTTCAAGTGCCTATCTATGATCTTTTCCAGTTCATAAATGTTTTTTTTTTCTTTTCTTTTCCTTGTGTTACAGTAAAAGCAATTTTAAGGCAAAAAAAATTTATAGCTGACCCTAGTCTTATTTGTACAAGTGTAGCAATTTTGTTTGAAGGGCACTTGGTCTGACAACATGTTACGGGAGCTTCCAAGTGTGTAGTTCAACAAATCACAAGTATTTATACATTGATATTGTCTAAAGTACAGCCCAATAGAAATAAAAGCTGATTCTGGAACATATGGCAATCCCAAGACAATGAATCACTGCTATTTTCCCTTTCCAAGGAGTTAATTTTCATTGTTCTGCCACCAAATGACTTATCCCATGTACCCTCTATTCTGATACCATATGACAAGTACTGAGAAAGATTTACATAATGAAATTCCAGAAAGAAGATTATATTCTGCAAATTCATACCATTTGTTCTTTACCCAGCCCCATAGTCTTCCTCCTTGATCTCTTTTCTTCTTCTTCTTCCTCCTCCTATCATTACATAGTAGAAGCTTTGCTCATAGCCTTAGTTCCTAAAGAAGTACACTTTCACTGAGATGACTCAGCAACACCGTGCAACAACATTCCCCGCATGAAAACAGGGAATGAGATAATTGCACATAAATAATAGATTTTCTTAGTTTAATTGTTACAGCAAAATGAGCAAATTTCTTAGCTTAAGTGCTAAAGAAATATAACACGTTCACATATACACACTTTCTTGAAGTAGTATGTTTGCGTAAAAAAAAGGCTTTGGTTATTCTCCTATTGTTGTGTCTACTGTAAATGCTCTTCCATTTTATCTGTCTCATGTTCTCAGGTAACAGATGACAGATATTTACATACATCTAATTACACTCCATAGTTCTCACCTTTTTTTCCTGAAATATTTGTATTTATTCTTTAAAAGTTTATACTTGTATGCAATGTATTGATCATATACATCTATTACTACTCAAAACTATATTTTCTATTATAAATTTTTATTCATTTTTAATAACTCCAGTTTAATTTCCATTAATATAGTCACAGTAATATTGGTTATCCAGTGAGGAGTAGGCAAACTCTGAGTGGCCACTTTCCCAAAGAAAAAGTGAGAGTCCCTCTCCCAGCACCCTTGAACTACTACTAGGTCTTCACCTAAGTGTGAGACTCAGAAGTTCATTCTCCAGTAGTGCTGGAATTGTGATGCTTTTGTTTGTAGAGGCCAATGCATTTGACATCCTTGTTGTGTTCAGAGCATAGCATTTCATATCACTCCCGTGTGTCCTCTGACTCTCAAATCCTTCCTGCCTACAGTTCTGGGATTTTCTGTGATATTCCCTGGACTGTGGCTGGGTAACGATTAATATAGACTGCCCACCTATGAGTGAGTATTACATTCACTCACTATCAGCATGTTTGCAAATAAAGATAACAGAAAATTTTATGATTCTCTGATATGTAATATTAATATATATAATTTTGTTTTCCACTAACCTCTGGATGAGTTGTTGGCCTTCTTGATGTTCAAATAGTATATATAACATTACAATGAACTTGAGAAACTTTGTTGGATGAATACTTTCATACGTTTTGGGTATCATTAAAATTATTGAGCCATGAAGGACAGCAAGTCCATTTATGTAGGACATACTGACATCCAGGGAATTCAATCACAAGTCCTCTTGCTTCAGTATTTAGATAGGGTTTATAAGTAAGAGTAAGTGCAACCTTACTCTTGCCCCTAAGCTTTTGATCTAAATATTTAAGAGATACTTAGGCACAAAAGGATCTTCATCAAACCTCTACTCTCAGGGGAATAGGAACCCCACAGAAAAGAAGGCAGAAAGAGTGTAAGAAACAGAGGGAACACTGGATACCAAGAAAACAAGGGCCTCTAAATCAGCAAGATAAACACATTCATACATGAACTCAGAGAGACCGAGGCAGCATGCACTGGCCTGTGCATTCTACATAAGATGGGGTCATAAGGCTTTAAGAGGTAGTGCACACTGCACCCATCCTAACCCAGAATCGATCTCCAGTTGATAACCATTTACAGTTTCCTCCAAGACAGTCTCCCTGGGAAAACAAACCACTCAAGGTTAGGCTGCATGACCAACAGTATATGAGTAACAGAAAACCAACTCGACGGCATCTCTGAGGGTTCTAGTCTCATATATGTTCTGTCAGAAATTGTCTTTTTTTTTTAAAAAGAAATATCTAATTTTCTAAATTTTCTATTTATTCAATATTTTTTTTTTTCTTTTCTGTCTTTACCCTACAGGTCCTTTGCTTATATATTATGGCTTCAAGTTTAGGATTTTGATTGGATTCCTGAGTGCACAAGTGAGTGGGTCTCTGAACCTATATATAATTCTTAAGTCTTTTTTTTATCTCTTTTTCTTGTTTATTGAGAACCTTTCTGGCTATATCTATGTCTATTTAATAAAATCTAGAATCATCTAAAAGGTGGGAGCCTCAATTGAGAAAATACCTCCATGACATCCACCTTTAGGGCATTTTCTTAATTAGTGATTGATGGGGGAAGGCCCAGGCATGGTGAGCTGGCCTCTCTATTCTATAAGAAATACCCCTACAGGCATTGCAGGTGCAGCTGCTGTGTCGCATGTGTGTCAGTACGTGACAGAACAGAAGCTGTGTCTAAGCTCAGTGTTGTAACCTGTGAACATCTAAATGATTTACAGTCTAATTTTCCCTGAAAAGCAAAGCCTGAGATGATCACAAATACTGTACCACAAAGGCCCAGTCCAGCTTCTAAGTCACAGAGCAAGCTAGGAGATTAGTGTAGGGATTCAGTCACTGGACAAGCTGTTAATCAAATTGGACCTGGCCTCCAGTTCTCCCAGCATCCCTCAGTCGCTACCTGAACTTTCCATCCCTTGTCTGGGCTTCCTCTGATTCAGAGGCTCTTTATTATATAATCCAAACATTTACCTATCTATCTATCTATCTATCTATCTATCTATCTATCTATCTATCTATCTATCTA